AGGTGGGTGGTGTGGCGGGAGGGGGGGGGGGGTAGCGGTACCACAAAGAATGTCTCGCTCGGTGGGTTGGAGGGGTTTGGGTTGATTGCCACTTGGACTGATTGGCCCGGCCCGACTCGCACCAACACCGTGTCACGCCCGGTTCGGCGGTTCGGCGGTTCGGCGGTTCGGCGGTTCGGTGGCGGTTCGGCGGTTCGGCGAGTCAGAGAGTCTGGCTTGGGCCAGTGGGTCGAACTGAACCAGTTGGGCAAAGTGGCCTGTTTCTCACCTGACTCACTGGTGCTGTTCCTGTACCTCCCTCTGCGTCCCCACCTCTCTCTTTCACTCTCTCACCACTCTCAATTGACCAATATGTTCCGTGTTGTGAGCCGTACTGGAGGAAGTGCTGTTGTGCGTGGCCTCAGCAGCGCAGCTGGATGCCTTGGAAGCGGGACAGGCAGTGCAGCTTCGGACATGGACAAACTGGAGTTCCTCCTGAACGACGACGGAGATGCTCTGGACGTTCTCTCCCAGCGGAAGAAAGACCACATTGACATCTGCCTCAACAAGGATGTCGAGCCTGCAGAGTGCTCCCTCGACAACTATCGCCTTCCCTACAAGTACGTCATCATTCCCCATCCCCTCTCCCCTCTCCCCCCCCCCCCCCCTCGCCTTCCTCCGCCTTCCTCGCCATTTTTTCCTCTGTTCTCCCGCCTCTCGCCCCCCCCCCCCCTCCCCGTTGCAGACTGCTGCTCTGGTAGTCTTTGTGGACAAGGCGCATGCAGCATGCAAACAGTGGCGTCACGTCACGACATGAGGAGCAAGGAGAGGAAGCTCGGACAGTTGGGAGCGAGGAACTCACGTTGCATCTGCTTCGATTCGGTTCCTAGGGCGCTGCCGGAGATCGACATGAATGCAGTCAGCACCGAGACCAAGCTGTTCGACTGGGACATCGCCATGCCGTTTATCGTGTCGTCAATGACCGGCGGTGAGGAGCACGGGCGGACGATCAACACCAATGTGGCCAAGGCGTGCAACAAGATGGGCGTCCCGTTCGGCCTCGGTTCGATGCGAATCATCAACCGCTACCCGCAGATGGTCGAGTCGTTTGACGTCAAGGAGCATGCGCCGGACGTGCCGATGTTTGCCAACATTGGCATTGTGCAGCTCAACTACGGGTTTGGCGCGGACGAGATCGCCAACATTATCGACTCGGTCGGCGCGGACGGCCTGTTTATCCATGTCAACCCGCTGCAGGAGGCTGTTCAGCCCGAGGGCGACGTCAACTTTGCCGGCCTCCTCTCCAAGCTCGAGGAGCTGCTGCCCAAGATCTCGGTTCCGGTCATCGTCAAGGAGGTCGGCCACGGCATGGACCCCGAGTCGGCCGAGGCCCTTGCCCAGATCGGCGTCAAGGTCATCGACGTGGCAGGCGTCGGCGGCTCGTCGTGGTCGTGGATCGAGGGCTACCGCCAGCCCAACTACGACCCGGAGACCAACCTCGGGTACATTACCCGCGACATGGGCCTCCCCACCGACCAGTCCATCATCTCCTGCCGCGACATCGAGGGTCTGCAGCTCATCGCCGGTGGCGGCATCCGCAACGGCATTCAGATCGCCAAGGCGCTCACCCTCGGCGCCTCGTACGCCACTGCCGCCAAGCCCTTCCTCGACGCCTCGCTCGAGTCGGCCGACGCCGTCGAGGCTCTTCTCCGCCGCATGCAGAAGGAGCTCCAGGTCGCCATGTTCTCCACCGGCTCGGCAACCATCGACGAGCTCAAGACCGTCAACGCCATTCGCCTTTGACGCCCCCGCTCTAGCCAGCTGTAGCGACAATGAACCCAGCGCTGCGCGGCCTGCGCCTCTGCTTGCTCACGGCGAGACTGCCGCCACCGCGGCCGTAATCCCGCGCACAATCAGGACACGGACAGACCGGACTGCCACAGTCAGCCATGCCCCTCGGTACAGGTAGACCATACCCTTGTGATCGAGCACGTCGGCGAGCACATCGAGCGACGGCGCGAGCGACGCCTGCGAGTACCGCTGCAGCTCCAGCGGGCGTGACGAGTCCAGCCGCAGCCGAGAGCCGACCGCAAACATCGGGCTGGCCAACGCAAGCGACGTCAGCGTCGACACCGCCATCCGCAGCGAGTACGAGTCGATCATTGCCAGCACCACAGCGTTGACCACGTCCAGTGCCAGGTACCCGCCAACGCCGGCATAGAGCGCGGCGAGCCCGCCCGACGCGTGCACCTTGCGCGCAACGCCAAGAACTGGCACCCGGCGTGCAAGCCGGGCAGCGAGCCCCGAGCCGTCGGCCGCAGCCTCGTCCTCGGCCGCCATGGTCTCGCCGGCCTGCCCGTACCGCCTATACGTCGCGACCCGGGACTCGACAGCGTACACGTCCGCAATCGTAAAGATGGGGTGGACAGCGAGGCGCTCGGTGGCAAGTGTGCATGAGAAGAGCATGACCCACGCCAACTTGGACTGATCGGTCGCGAGCCGCGCCCGCCACATCGGATACGCCAGCTGGCGCACAGCATGCCGGACCATTGTGCCTACAATCCGCACCGGCACCGTCCGCCACAGGCCAGCCCATCCGTCTTCCTCCCACATCTTCCGCATCAGCTCACGCGCCGAACGCGGCGGCTTCTCCACGGCATTCTTCCCACCAGCATCCGCCATGTCCTCGGTCGCCAGCACCACACGCAGCCGCAGTAGCGGCGCCAGCACTACCTCGGACGCCACTGCCGCCACCAGCACCCGATGCCGGTTCAGTGCCTCGAGCGAGACAGCCACCCACCCCGTCTTTGAGCCCATAATGACTGACATTATCCTTTGTCTGCACTAACTCGTCGCCTGTGAGTTGAGTGGGTGATGGTGCCAGTGTCTGCCGAGCCGGCGTGTGCTGCCAAGGGCGATGGACTTCACGCCTTGTCGCTCGTGGTTGCATTCATCGCGGGACTATATCGAGGATGATGTACCTTGATCGTAGTTGCAGCGTACCGTACTACACATCAAGCTCTTGTCTCCCGGTATGTCTGTGGTTGCTGTCGTCATGCTGTTTGTGCCTCGAGCCGGCTGGGACGCATCATGATCACGACCCCGATCATTGACGCGCTCAGGTTTGACGCCCACGCCGCTCCCCCCCCAGCTATGAACCCCCTCATGCCCTTCCACCCCACTCGCTCAACCATGCTGCGGTGGCCTTTGGCGGCGACAGCGGTGACCCGTGTGGCGCAAGTAGCTGGCAGGAGCAGGTCGTGGGCACGACTGATGTCAGTGACAAGCGATGTGGCGGCAAGCGATGTTGCGGCGGTGGCTGGCGGCGGCGGACGGACGCTGCTCTCGCATCGCAAGGTAGTCGAGGTCTTTGATCGTGATGCAGAAGAGTTTCTGCAAGGCGTGGCGACCGTCGACGTTGAGGCTATTGTGCCCGGTGGTGCGGCGTACTCGGCCATTCTGTCGTCCAAGGGCCGCATGCTCTTTGATCTGTTTGTCTTTCGCTCCAGCGACGGCTCGCGCTTTGCGCTGGACGTGGCGTCTGAGTCGCTCCCTGCGCTCCTCCGCGTCCTTGCCCGGTACAAGCTCCGCGCCAAGGTTAGCATTGCCGAGGCGGACGAGCTCGGGGTATACGCCGCGCTGTCTGGCGGGGATGGCGTGGTCGATCCGCGCGACCCGCGCATGGGCGGCCGCGGCATTGCCGAGCTCGATGCCCTCGACGGCACCATCGACGGTGCCGAGCCGGCGGCGTATCTCGCTCACCGGGTTGCACTCGGCTTGCCGGAGACCTGGGCCGACTTTCCGCCCAACAAGGCGCTTGCGCCCGAGATGTCGCTTGACGCGCTCTCGGCGCTCTCGCTCACCAAGGGCTGCTACGTTGGCCAGGAGCTGATTGCGCGGACGCACGCCCGCGGTGCGATTCGCAAGCGCATCCTGCCTCTGGCCCTCGCGCCGTCTCCCGATACGCTGCCAACGCGAGCACAGCTCGAGGCTACCTCGCCCAACGAGCTCGTCGCCACTGGTGCGGCCCGCCTCGACCTTCCGCGCCTGCACCTTGCTCCCGATACCCGCATCACCCTCGCCGACTCGTCCAAAGCCGTCGGCCGTGTCGGCTCTGCTTCGATCGACTCGGGCATGGCCCTCGGCTTGCTCCGCCTCCGCAACGTTCTCGCTTCCAACGCGGATGCTGCTGACCCGGTCCTACACATCCGCGCCCTCCAGACCGCACCCGGCGCTGATGCCGGCGAGCGGTCGGTCGACTTGTTCGCACGCGCGTTTGTGCCCCGCTTCCTCCGTCAAGCTCTGGTGACAGATGGTCAACTTTAGTTTGCACACAACCAGCGGTATGCTGACCCGTGGCGCAGCTCGTTCAAACACACGCTATCCCCCCTTCTCTCGCGCGCAACTCCCATCCTTGCCAATCGTCATCCATCGGCTGCATCTCTGCCCAGGCTGCGCGGTTGCGCCATTGGCGTGACGTCACCTTGCAACCAGAGAACGACGCGTTACTCATTTCTGCGGCCAAAAATTGCCGCACCGTCGGCAGCCGCCCTTCCGTGTTGACACCCAGACTCACCCTCTCCTCGTTTGGGCTACTTTCCCGCTTGAAGACTCCCTGTGGTTTTGACCGACTTGACTCTATCCAACACAGGGAGTACCCTTCCCCCAACTCTTATCTACCCCCCTTCCTCTCTTCCTCTCGCCGCGTTCCGGCTGACCAACTCCGTTCTCAGTAGCCAACTTGGTGTTGCAAACCCCCGTCCCTGTCCCTCGGCTTACCTGTCACGCCGACTTTTCGTCTCCGCACCTGGTCTGTCGCCAGAGTTCGCGAACAGTTGTCATCAGCCAATTACTTCCCGACAGCAAGGCACTGCGTGTTGACGGACCGAACTCTTCCCACGGCGGTATTATTACCCAACCCCCCACTTTGGGTATGCCTCTAGCGGGTACGCGTGCATACCCGTCGCCAACCCGGGTACCTTCGACCGCCATGTCTGCTCACCTACCGAGCGAACCGGCGGTTGCTACGCTACGAGCCGGTAGTCGTGTTGCAGGGTTAGCCGGCGGCTCGGCGGGCTCGACCGCACAACAGCCGCAACAGCGTCGTCTGCACACCGTCCCACTTTCTCCCACAGAGCTCAACGGTACCAACTACGACAGAGATTGCCCATCATCGCAGGGTGTTGACGACGTGCTTACCACTTCGGGCTCGCTCGACGCTTCCCTGGACTTCGAGCCAGCTGCGGGCGATGTTCTCTACGGCGACGTCCGGGCCAGCCTTGCTCGGCCGCTCCCGCGCCTCAGCCCGCTGTTGTCGGGCTCACCGGCCATGAACCGTGGCGATGACGACCGCTGCGGTAAGCCTCGCAGGAGCAAAATTGCATCCCCGGTCAAGACTGTGTCCAGGGCGCCGCGGTCACGATCGGGGTCGCGGTCGCGGTCGCGGTCGCGGTCGCGGTCGCGGTCGGGGTCGCGGTCGGGGTCACAATCCCAACAGCGCTCCTCTTCCTGGCCTTGTCCCGGTCCTATTGAGCCAGGGCTGGGCTACTCGTGCTCATCGTCCGAGCTCACCATCGGCTGTGCCTCGCCACACTCGGTGCTCCCTCCGCCGGTCTACGTCTCGGCGTCACGGTCAGTCTCTTCAACCGGTTCGGACCCTGGCTCGGGCTCGGGCTCGGGCTCGGGCTCGGGCTCGGGCTCGGGCTCGGGCTCGGGCTCGGGCTCGGGCTCGGGCTCATGGTCGTCGGCGACAGCGTCGTCGGTCGAGCACAGTCTCCGGATCGTCACGACGTTGTCGACGTCAGCGGCCGAGATGGGCTCGTCGCCGTGTTCACAGGCGCGGTCGGACATCGACTCGCCGATGATCCGCCGGTGTGCACCGCGGACCTCATCGTTTACGACCGCCTGTGCCAACTCGTCGTCGTCGTCCGACGCCGAGGCAACGTTTGCATCCGCCGTCCCGTCGTTTCGGTCCGCGCTTGCGCGTGAGGCCATGCTGGCGGCCTACTCCGACGAGTCCAAGAACGTTGCGCTCCTCAGCATCGCAGACGTCTGGCCCGAGTCGTCGGACGAAGGCGCTTCGCTCGAGTGGCGCACGCTCCGCGACCACTTTCTGCGGTCAGGCAAGATCGAGGCAGATTTTGCCTTTCACTTGTTGGCAACGGCGCGGACCGTTCTCGCGCGCGAGCCCAATGTCCTGCGCCTCTCGCACGACTCCCTGGCTGCTGCACAAGCTGCTGAAGCATGCGCTGAGCATGACAAAGTGAGCGGCAGCAGCGGGGAAACCGGTAGCATACCTACCGGGGCTCATCGTCCGGGTCTTGTTCTCGTCGGCGACATCCACGGCCAACTATTCGATTTGGTGTGCGCGCTGCTGCTCGGCGGCGATCCTGGCGATCCTGACGTGGCGTACTTATTCCTCGGCGACTATGTCGACCGGGGTGTCTACTCGACCGAGGTCCTCTTTCTCCTTGTCGCGCTTAAGCTCCGATTTCCGGGCTCTGTCTACCTCCTCCGCGGCAACCACGAGTGCCGGTACGTCTCGCAGACCCACGGGTTCCTCACTGAGCTCTGCTACAAGTACGGCGACGAGACTGGGGTCCGAATGTGGCGAGCGGCCAACAGCGTGTTTGACGCTCTCCCGCTCGCGGCCCTCTTCACCGCAGACGACGGTGCGCGCATGTTCTGCTGTCATGCCGGTGTTGCGCCGCTCATGTCCATCGGCGACATCGACGCCATCGACCGGCTACAGGAGATTCCATGGCAGGGCGACATGGTCCATCTGGTGTGGTCGGATCCGGTCGATGCGTCGGACGTGTGCCAGCTGCGCGCTGCCGCGCTGCCAGCCGCCGCCACCGCAGACGTCTCGTTCAAGGACATCGAGGCGCTGCCCAACCATGACCGCGGCATCTCGATCAAGTACGGCTACGCCACGCTCGCCGAGTTCCTGGTCCTCAACAATGTGACCACGGTCATCCGCGCCCACCAGGTCATGTCAACCGGCTTTTGCATGCACGCGCTGTTTGAAGAGGCCCGAGAACAGGCTCGCGCTCGCGGCGCCGCAGTTCCGGGCTCACCAGACTGGCCCATGGTCATGACCGTCTTTTCAGCACCCAACTACTGCGGCATGTATGACAACTCGGCGGCGCTGGTCAAGATTTCGCCGACCCGCAATGCCGACGGCAAGTTCTACGACGTCATCACCTTTTCCTCGCCCGACTCCAGCTTTGACTGGGACTCGTTCATGCAACACGACATGGCTGCCCATCCGCATACGCCCAGCCCAGACCTTGGCTCCGCAGAGTTTACACGAGTGACCAAGCGGCTCGCCTCATCGCTCCCCAACGCCACCGTCGACCTTGTGCCGCTCATTACGAACGCAGATGTGACGCGAGGCGTCTCCGACTCGGGCACTCTAGAGGATTCATGCGATGGAACGCCGTCGCCGATGGTTGGCGGGTGCAGGCTCAATTTGAGCGCCGCCGAGCTATCGGGCGAGCCGCTGCAGACTCTAGGTGTCGACAGCTACACAGCCGATCAGAGTGAGTCCTGTGAGCTGCCGGCCGTCTCGAGCGAGGGTTCGTTAGTCTGGCCGCTATCTCGGGTCTCCCGCGCCATGTCGGAGCCGCTGCTGCCGACGTTTGGCTCGCTTGCGCTCGTTCCGGACGGCCTCTCGACGGTAGAGACCGAGGACAAGGCAAAGCGGCCGCCACCGGTCGCGCTTGCGCCGGATGTGGCCAAGGGCTACGCCGAGGCGCGCCCGATCCCCCAGGCCGCTCGTCGTATCGCTACCCAAACGAGTACCACCAGAGCTCGCGACAGCTGCGATCCAAGCCACCACGCCGTCGGCGGCGCCACATGCTGCACCCCGGAGACGACTCGAGCTCAGTCTCGGGCGGCGGGTGGTATGACGGCCTCCGCGAGTTTGATTGGTCGCACTCGGCTTACGCCCGCACCTCGCAGAGCCTCAAGTCGTTGCAGCGGGCGATTGAGACCGCCGAGCGCTACGGCGATAGCGCGAGCCTGCGCGACAAGCTCAAGATTGACATTGTGCTGCCGAGCACAGCCGCCCGTCCGCGCGGAATTGATTTTGACCCCGAGGAGGGCCTCCACGTCTCGATCCACACCCTCACCTCGCCGCACGTACCGTCTGAGTTTTCTCAGTTGCTTTCGCAATCGCACCGGTCTGTCTCGCTCTCGCCGACCGCGCGAATCGCGCCGCCGGCGTCTGACTCTTCACCTGGCCACTCGCCACTGCCGACGCTCATAGAGCTGGATCTAGCTGGCTCGGACCACGCGCTGCCACTCTCGCCACCGCCAGGCATCGGCAGCATGTTTGGCTCGTCGCCACTGGCATCGGCACCGCCGCTTCTTTACTCAGACGAGGTCATGTTCCCAGACCTTGTCAAGTCGACCGTGCTCTGCCTCTCTCAGCCGAGCCGTGAGTGATGACCGTAACATGCAGTTCAATGGGAAGACTTTGTTAGTGTGTGATGTTGATGCTCGCAAGGAGCTGAGCCGCCGTTACAGGCTCTCGTAGACCTTATCGATGTCGTTCCGGTACTTTTTCATCAGGTTCGCACGCTTAAGCTTCTGAGCGGCGGTGACGAGGTCCGACTCGGGCGTCCACTCGGTCGGCTCGAGGATGACCCAGGCCGGCGTCTCAAACTTCTTGAGCCCTGCGGACTTGGCCGTCTTCTTGAGGGCGGAGAGGACAGCAGAGCGGGCGTCCTCGCTGTCAACGAGCTTGTTGGCGGACGTGTCCGCGCCAGCGCCGAGAGCGGCGCGGAGGGCGTCTGCGTTGACCGAGACGACGGCGAGCGGGTTGTTGAGCTCGGGGCTCTGGTGGACCATGACGTTGTCGACGACGTCTGCGTTGCGGAGCGCCGACTCGACCTTGCCGAGCGAGACGTACTCGCCGTGGCCGCCCTTGACGAGGTCCTTCTTGCGGTCGATGATCCGGAGAACACCGTTGGTCTCCACCTGGCCAATGTCACCGGTGGCGTACCAGCGGATGCCTGCCGAGTCGACCGGGTAGTCCTCAGCGGTCTTGTCGGGCATGCCGAGGTAGCCGCGCGACACACTGTTTCCGCGGATCCACATCTCGCCGCGCGGGCGTCCAATGGTGGGGTCGCTGGCGTCGGCGTTAGTGTACTGTTCCCAGTCGACGAGCTTGAACTCGCAGCACATGATAGGCGCACCGACCACATTCGTCTCCGGGTCGTCCGGGTGAGTGATGGTTCCGGTGCTGCAGGTCTCGGTTGCGCCGTAGCCCTGGCCGAGCGGCGCAATGACGGTCGAGAACCAGGTCTGTGTCTCGGATGAAAGCGGGGCGCCGCCGGAGAGCATCATGCGCAGCCGCCCACCGATGGCGGCGCGGATCTTGTTGAAGACCAGCACGTTGCACAGCGGCGTGGGCCACCCGTTAAAGTGAGCTTGCTTGGCCGACGCCAACGCCGCGGCGTACAGCAGCCGCACGGGAAGCGAGGCCTTGGCGATTTTCTTGGAGACGCCGTCCCGGATGCGGTCGAGGACGAGCGGAACAGCTGCCATGAGCGTCGGCCGCAGCGCGCGGAGGTCGCCCATCGTGCCCTCGGCAATCATGGCCGACGTGTCCGACAGCGTAAGCGTCGATCCGTATCCGATGGACGCACCCAGCGAGAGAATAGTAGTCTCAGCGCAGAGCTCGAGAATGTGCGCCAATGGGAGGTAGCCGACGTAGACGTCGGCGTTGGTGGCACCAGGAATGGCCGGCGCCAGCGAGGCAACCGCGCCAACAACAGCCTTATGCTCGATCTCAACGCCCTTGGGTTTTCCGGTCGAGCCAGAGGTGTACATGACGACTGCCACGTCGTGGGGCTCGGGCGCATCGGGCTCGGCCGGAGCTTGGGCGCCGGCAGCCTCGACGTCACCAAACGAGACCAGAATTGACGAGGGAAGGCGTCAAGTGACGAGTTGTCGGTCGTACGGCCCTCCATCGGCGGAATGTAGATGACCTTTTCCACAGTCGGCAGCCGGTCGACGGCTCCAGCCACATTCGACAGCAGCGCCGAGTCGGTAATGAGAATCCGCGAGCCAGTCTCCTCGGCGGCGTGAACAACCGCGTCCTCGCCGAGGTTGGCGTAAATAGTAGCGAGCGTGATGCCGCGAGCAAAGCACGCCTGCGCCGCAACTTGCCAAGACGCACAGGTGTTAGCGTAGATCGAGACGACATCGCCGCGGCCGAGGCCGAATGCGGCCAGCCCGGCGCCAAAGTGCGTCACGCGCTCGGCCACCTCAGCAAAAGTCTGCCAGCGGTACGGCCCGAGCTCAAGCTTGGTAAAGTTGCGCCCGCGCTCCTCGTTCCACTCGTCGACCTGGCGGATGACCGTCCGCTCGCCGAGGCACGGCGAGTCGGGGAACTTATCCACGGCGCGGGCAAAGATCTTGTCCACTGTGTCGCACCCGGGCAGCGGCATGGCCACGAGGTCATTGTCAAATCCGACTGCGGCCGAGCGGATGAGCGTCTCACCATCTTCGTTGACCCGCATGACACCACGCGGTGCCCGCGACTTGAGCGGGATGAAGCCGAGCGCGTTGTAGACCAGCGCCGTCAGAAGGAGCAAGCCTGGCCAGGCCCAGAACAAGTAGCCGGGGTCAAGCGGGGAGAACTCGCGGACGACGTCCACAAAGTACGAGCACCACGAGCAGCACACCATACTACGGAGAGGTGTATGAGGATGAGGATGAGGATGAGGATGAGGATGAGGAGTGAGTGAGGGTGGGGTGGGGGTGGCGGGAAGGAAGGGGGGGGGGGGGGGAGGAGGGGGGGCGTACATGTCTTTGTCGTGGAAGGGTGGTGCAGGTGGGGGGAGGGGTGTGTGTGTGTGTGTGCGTGAGACTGAAGTCACGTGTGACAAACGACGGGATAGTGATGGTGATGACGCCTGCGTCGACTGCCACGTCTGCACCACAACATTGCAGTCATGTATGGGTCGCGCTCGGTGTGTGGGAAGAACAAAGGCCGCAAGCAAGAGCGTCACATGTACCACAGAAATATAGGTAAAAATATTTACTCGGACAGCACCGGGACACATCCTGTGCGGATGGACGCAGTGGGCTGCGGCGACAAGCAGTGTGCGGCGACGGCTGCGCTGGTGGGGTGCATGCACACGAGAGCAGGACTGGAGCAGATGGGGGCGAGTCCCACCGACCCACCGAACTACACCCCACCCCACTCCATCTCAACCATGAACACCCCCACCGAGGTCTACGCCTCTGCCTGGACGGCGCGTCTCCTGGCCGCCTTCCTCGCCCTCACAGTCGTCCTGTGCCTCTCGCGTGCGACAGGCATCCACCCAGTACGCACACCTTCCCCTTGACCTCCCCTCGGCACATACACATATACATACCTACATGCATGCATGCTGTACTTACTTGCCGGGTGAGCTTATGTGGTGACGGATGGCGGGCAGCTGCCTATTGCTGCTGGACTGGTGGTGACCGGGTATGTGGCGCCGAGCATGGGCGCGCCGCACCCGGCTGACGTCGGCAAGGTCCTCGCCACCTATCCGATCATCACGGGCGTGTGGTGTGCTCTGGGCATGGTTATGCTCCCGCCGATGTACTCGTGGATCTCGCCGCTGCTTCTGACGGCCCTCACCCACCCGGCGTATCTGTACCTTCTCATCACCCTCATCGACGCTGCCGTCATCTCGCTCTTTGCTGGCCCTCTCCATGCAGCCAGCAAGCCGTTCTCGCTGGTGCCGACTCTGGCCTTTATGGCGTGGATTACTCTCGCGCGGTTCCCGCTCGCTTGGCTGCAGGCGGCTGCCATTGATGCGATGCACGCCGTCCTCGCCGGCCTCGTGCCGTGGCCGCTTGCCGTCCCTGCGCCGCTCCCGTCGTGGGCCGCGGTTGTTGTCGCTGAGCCGCTCGTTGCGCCGTGCACCTCGCAGCTTGTGGTCGACGTGGTCTTTGCCGCCCTCCTTGCCCACGCCATCCTCGCCGCCTCGTCGTACATCCGCCCGCTCCATGTCTTTGCCTATCGCCACGCCCTGGTCATCGCCTGTGCGCTCGGCATGGGCAACATGCTCGCGCGGCATATCTTCCTCCACAACATCCTTGCCATCGCTGCCTAACTAAACGTCTCGCGCTTGAGCAGCTCAAGCTGGACACGCTGTTCGGGTGAGAGCTTGTCCAGCTGCTCGGCAGCCAGCTCAGCTCCAAACTCCTCACCGCGCCGCTTCTGCTTCCGCAACGTCTTGAGGTAGCCATGCCACTCCTTGAGGAACATCTGCAACCACCACCACCACCACCACCACCACCACACACATGTGCTCAAACCGGTGTGAGTGGTACCATCTCATAAGCCCCCCCCTCCTCTCAGTCTCCCTCGTCCGTACCCGGACCTCGGTCGGAGAGACGGCCTTGTGCCGCTTGAACTCGTCGCGGACATAGTCATCGCCAACCATCCGCAGCTCGACAGGAAGCACACGCCGGTGCATCCGCATGATGTTGCGGTAGAGAGCAAGGACGCGCGTCCGATGTGGTACAGAGGCCATGCGAGAGTCGAGTGTGAGGCTGCTGGACAGCTGCTGCTCCGCTGCTGGCCTCAAGACGCGTCAGCCATCCGCCGTGCAGGCTGGCCGGACTCGTGTGGGCTTCCGCAGACATCGACTATGTCTGCGAGGTAGAGCAGACTGTAAGCGCTGATGGATGGCGACTGCAAGGGCTCGGCAGCAGTAGCATTGACTTTAAACGGCAGGCGCAGACGGCCAGGCGCAGCCGGCCCACTTGGCGAGCTCGTCGAGCTCCATCATGCCTTGGTGGCGAGAGTCGCCCCGAACCCAGGTCGGCGTTGCTTCGATCTTGGCGAGCTTGCACGTCTCGGCTTCGGCCGTGCACTCGTGTGAGGCCTGGATGTTGCTCCACTCGAGGCCAAAGCGGGCGCGCTGGCGGACGCAGTGCGAGCACTCGGCGTACCAGTAGACAGCGACGGCGCGCGCGTTGAGGCATGCGACCAGCTCGGCACGATGCTCCTTGGCAGCAGGCAGGACAGTGGCGGGCGCATTGCAGGCAACCAACATGATGAGGCCGACACAGACGATGACGACGAGCCACCACTTGAGCTCAGCCACAAGATCGACGAGGTCCGGCAGGGAGCGGCGCGGGCGGACGACGGTGATGTAGAAGGAGTGGGCGAGGGCCATGACCGCCAGCGAGAGGAACTGGACAAGAGTACAGGCGAGGCAGATCTTGCCCAAGGCCAGCTCTGCAGCCACGAGGTAGACGACGGTGGCGGCACCTGTGGCCGACCAGCCTGCGAGGCCGATGACGATGGCAGTGTCGTAGCCGACCAGGACTAGATGCGCAGCGACGGCAGTGACGACCGCGAACCAGAAGATGCCTAACAGTGCCACCGGTATCTTGAACAGCTCCGAGTACTTGGACGTGTTCACCGCCACACACGACAGCACCGAGTTGACCTCGCACACGCCATGGGCTGCCACCTCGGGCGCGTAGTGCATCCGCAGCAGGTACACAGATGTCGCCATCCCCACAAGTCCCACCACCGCAAGTACTCGCACACGCGCCTCTTCAGAGAACAGCACAAGTGGGTTCCGCATCCTCTCTTTCTACTTTTGCGTCAGCTGTTGCCTCTAAGTCTCGTCCTCGTCGTCGCTTGGGGGGGAGGGGGGAGGGGGGGGGGGGGGGGGGCGGGGGGAGTCACAGGCTACCACTGCGGCCGATTGCGGCATCTCTGCGACTCGACCGGTGCCGATACACCGAGGGGTACGAGTGTTCAATGTACAGACCGGGTGCAGATCGTCACGGGGCGGGCGGCAATGTACAGACCGGGTGCAGATCGTCACGGGGCGGGCGGCTTGGACTTGGACTTGGACTTGGACTTGGACTTGGACTTGCGAGATCTTCTACTGCGCCGCTCGGACTCGTTCTTGCCGTCGTCATGGTCGATGGAGTGGGACAGCGAGTCCGAGGTCAGAAGAGATCGCGGTGTGCTGGCAGCTGACGGCATGGCACTGGACATTGGCAACTCCGCTGGCGTGGCTGGGTTAGTGGAGTGGGCAGCATCGTCGGCGTCGATCGTGTGTTCCTGAGGTGCAAGGAGTGCAGAGGCAAAGTCGATGGCGTAGGGCGCGGCGACAAAGTCCTCGCGACCGAGTGCGACGTAGGTATGACCTGGCCGCAGCTGATCCAACCGTCTCACCACATGGCTCTGCCACATCGGCCGAGAAGCAACCAGCATGGCCAGCGCGTCGCCGTCGACAACAGACGCAGTTGCACCCGAGCGCAGGGCCTTCTCAGCCCGTCCTGGAGCTCCGTGCTTTCCGGACGACCTGGAGTCGCTTCGCTGCGACTTGGCTCTGGACCTGGACCTGGCCTTGGCTTTGGCCTTGGTCGTCGATCGTGCCTTGGACTTGACCGGCTCGGGCTCGTACAACGTGGTGGACAACATGCGGTCGAGCGCGGCCATGGCGTCGTCGTCAGCTTCGGTCTCGCTATCGCCCCCTCGCTATCGTAGAGCGAGAGAAACCCGTCCTGCGAGACGGGGCCTGTGAGCGAAACCAGCCGCGAGAGCTTGTACAGCGAGACCCGTGAGTTGGACGGAAGTGACTCGTCGAGGAACGCCATGAGTATGGCCAGGTCCTTGAACACAGTTGCCGAGACCTCCACTGATGTCGGCGGCGCCGGATGGCCGTTGAGAAAGACAGTGATGGAGAACAGCGGCCGCAGCTCTACCGCATGATCCTCCATTGCAAGGTGCGATATCGGCGCGGCGGTAACGGAACCTCGCCGCACCGCCGGCCATGCTTGCGCTGGCACTTGCGCTTTGACCGGGACTCGTCCGTCGAGGCCAGCAACTAATCGCAGAAGTGGCTCGTCAGGCGCGCGGTGAACAAACACCGCTTGGACGTCGGTGACCCGGTCCATGGCGGGCCACACAAACAGGGACGTCGCCCGCGAGCCCGAGATGGCGAAGCTTCGAGTCACAACTTCCAGCACAGCAGGAAGCGACCGTAGCGCATGCGCCGGGATCCGCACACGGACCGCACGCCTTGTCGCAGTTCCGTTGCCGGCCACTACCAGAGCAATGCGCGACATTTGTACATCGCTCATTGCATATGCGCGAACCACACCCCCAGCTGGAGCTACAGACCGTCGTCGAGTCACAAGACTCGCTCCATGCGCGCCATCGACGGCTGCGACCGCAGGCTTGGCCGCAGGCGGCGGCCACGAGCCTATTGCCCTCAGCGGTCGCTTCGACTCTCGCAGATGCAGTATCTCGACAGCTGACAAGCGTGGGAATGATTCACCGCTCGATAGCGCCACATACAGCCGCCCGTCACGTAGCGCCTGCGGATTAGCCACTCGCTTCCCCGATGGCCAGCAGTGGAGTGCGGTCGCCGGCAGCGGTGCCCCAATTGCCTTGTCGACATGCGCTAGCAGCGCAGCGAGCGAGAGCCGCGCCACCCGTGGGAGAACCACTCGTACGCTATCCTCCGGCTCGTCGCTACTCCGCATCACCTGGATGGCGGTGCTCTCATGAGTCGTCCCAAACATCCGACGCGATGCTGGGCCGAGCGCGAGCGGCTCGTCCTCGCGAAAACGCTTGCGCCTCGGTCGCGGCGGTGACACCACGCCCGGTCTTGCCGCCTGTGGCGTTGGCGGCGACATCGGATACATTCGCGCCACTTTTGCTCGCAGCCGCGCGGACTTGCGCGCCTTGGCCGCACTCACAGCGGTGCTCGCTGACGTTGACGTTGACGTTGACGTCGACGCCAAAGCCGAACGACTCGCTGTGGACCGCGACGTTCTTCCACCCGTCAACATAGTCTCACCTTTTGAGCTCGTACTCGAGTCCGAGCCCGAGTCTGATCCCGAGTCTGATCCCGAGGCGGAGCCCGAGGCGGAGGCCGGGTCCGAGTCCAAGCCCTGGCCCGACCTGCTTGCCACCGACCCGGCCGTGTTCGACAGGCTTGAGACCGACGGCAGTAGCTTCCGCGAGACCGCACCAGCCGATCGCCCCCGCCCTGGCCCTAGTCCTCGACCCCGCCCTTTGCCCCTGCTCTTGCCCCTGCCCCTGCCCCGCCCGCGATGTGCTTCTATCCGCCGCCGAGGGCGTTCAGCGACTGCGCGCGGCGGCGGGAAGATGACGCCGTAGGCGGCCACGGCCTCCTCCGCAGCCTGCAGCGAGACAATCAGCCTCCGCCCGGAGCCTTTCCCGTGCATACTTCCGTTCTTCCCGTCGCGATCCTTCCCACGCTTGCCGCCTGCACCAGTCTGTTCAACCCCGGCCTCCACCCTACCCATTCCGTCAAGACTCTGTCCACCTCGGTTTCGGTCTCGGTCTCCGCCTCGGTCTCGGTCTCGGTCTCGGTCTCGGTCTCGGTCTCCGTCTCCGTCTCCACCAGCGCAGCTCCCCACCGTCACGCCCGACACCACCGACGACGCCAGGCTCTCTCGCCGACTTCCCTGACCCACCCCTGCCTCGGACATGTCCATGCGGCGACCGGTGGGGGGGGGGGGGGGGGGGGGGTAAGAGAGAGAGAGAGAGAGAGAGAGAGAGAGAGAGAGAGAGAGATGTATGTACGCCTGTCCGCTGCCACCACTACCACGGTCGTCACCACTGACCTGCCTGATGCCTGCTGCCTGATGTCGTGCCGGGCGGCCTGCGCGGAAGCGCACTTTGGCCCAGAGACAGAGGCATGGGATGTGGACCATGTTGGAAGACAGCGGGTCAGACCACCTCACTCCATCTCGGTACTGGTGACTATTGACGGAGATGGCTGCATGCATGGATGCGGAGAGTCCGCGGACGCCGCGTGGAGAAGGTCCTGGTGGAGAGGTGGCCAAGATGGGCGGGCGAGCCGCCGGCAAAGGAGCCATGGTGCCGGCGTGGACGGCAGGGTGGGGATGGATGGCGGAGGGGAGGTTAGTTTGGATGACCTGGGCGTTCTGGTGGCTTTGGATGGATGGGAAGCAGAGGCTGGCAAGCATGGTGCCGGTCCAGCGATGATGGGTGACGACGAGTCGAGGATTGGGCGGCCAGGCTCGGGCAGCGGACATGGCAGCCGGCGCAGGGGTGTCGATCCGCTGCGGACAGGACTGAGGGCGGTGGACGCGGCGGTGCGCGAGAGTGGTGGACGGGTGCCATCGGTGGGTGAAGCTGTGCGCCCGGTGTGATGCGCAGCGATCACAGCGCGTCTTGGGCGTCCCATTCGACGGGGACGACGGCGACAGGAGTGCCATCGGCGGCGGCCATGGGCACCGAGTCAGACGACGATGTCCAGCCCTGCGAGTCGGAGAATGAGACGTCCGAGTTATGGTGCGCTTGTTGGGATATGGTGGCGTCGGAGGAGGTCGGCGGCTCCGGGTCCTGCTGCGAGCGTGAGCCCTTGCGTCGGCGGCGGCGGCGGCGGCGGGTGGACGGGGCTGTTGTGTCGACCCGGAGCAGAGCGGCGTCACTGGCGGCGGCGGGCGGCGGCAGGGCGTCGTCGACGCAAGCCTCGGCGACGAGGGTCTGGAACGTGATCATAAATGGCGAGTCCGGCGCGAGCAAGGATGTGTCGGCGTCGTCGAGTGACATGCGGGCAAACCGGATGAGCGTCGAAGTGTTAGCTGCCATGGTCTCGAGCGCCAGGTCTAGCGGCGAGCGGCCGGCGTCGTTGAGCGGCTCGAGAGAAGCGGAGCGGCGAATGAGCAGGCCAGTGATGGCACCGGCATCAGAGCGAGCAGCGTAGTGGAGCGGGCTCCAGCCGCGCGAGTCGGGCAGGTCAGGTGAGGCCGAGTTGGCGAGGAGGAACTCGACGATCCAGACGCGGTCAAGGGCGATGGCGAGATGGAGCGGCGAAACAGCAGTGTCGGGCGGGATGCCGGCGTCGTCAGCGACGGCCGGCGGAACAGGCTGCAGACCATCCAATAAGATGGCAGCATCGGGTGAGGCGAGACACTCGAGGACGGCAGTGCGCGAGTTGGCGGCGACGGCCGCGACCATGGCACCGGGTGAGAGGTCGCCCGAGTTGCGCCCGCAAAACTGGCGGTCGCGGTACTTGAGTGAGATAAAGGTGCGGACGGCATTGACATCCTTGATCACACCGTCGACCTTGTACTCGGCGACGGCATCGATGTCGGCCTCCCAGGCAGCATTAGACACAGCGTTGCCGAGCGCCCTGAGAACGTGGAGCGCGTGCGGGTCGAGAGCGTCAAGCTCGAGCGATCGGACCTTGGAAATGTGGGTTCCGAGCGAGCGGTGGGCGCCGGAGCAGTCGATGCAAAAGATCGCACCGAGATTAAGCGAGCACCACTTGGGATGTGGCGCGCCGCAGTCGGCACAGGCCATGTTTGCCGGGTCGGCGCGCCAGAGAGCAACAAGCTGGTCCGAGACACCATCGTCAGCGGCGAGGCCGGGCTCGCCGCTGGCGCCGGCGCGTGGGGTGCCCGGCCCAGCGGACGAGCCTGCAGCCGACTCTCCACCAGCGGTACCAACCTCGTTATGATTGAGCTGTTGGGCGGTGGCAGACTGGATGGCGGCGATCCAGGCGTCGCGGGCGGCGTCGTTCTCGGCCTGCAGCAGGTATGCACGTTGCGGGGTGATGACCTCAAAGCACGAGCGGCGGTCGGTGGCCGAGTCGGCAGGGAGGCGGACGGAACAGAGGAGAGTGTTGACGGCGTGGATGGGCTTGAGGTTCGAGTCGTTCTTGTAGTACACAAACTGGCCGTCCTTGATGGCAAAGAACCTCCGCTTCCAGTCGCGCATGAACGACGACGACTGCTTGAAGAGATAGCCCTGAAAGGCGACGTCGTCCTCGACAGCGGCAGCGGAAGCTTCGTCGGGCGCGCCAGCAGCCGGAGTGACCGGGCGACCCGGGGTGGCGGGAGAGGGCGTCGCGCTGCCGTCGAGGCCGGCTGGATCGGTGAGCGCGGCGGAGAGCGCGGCGTGCATAGCATCCTTCTCGGCGGCGTAGGCGGCGCGATCTGCAGCGAGCTGCTCGGTGAGCGAGGTCATGACCGGTGCCATGGACGACATATGCTCGTGGCCGCGATGAAAGTAGGCCGCATGCGAGTAGAGGAGGGCCAGGAGGCGCTCGAGGACGTCAAAGTGCTTGGCGGCGGCGACATCGTTGAGCTCCTCCACGTGCTGGACGCCAAAGGCGGTAAAGTTGTGGCGGGCGAGGTCCATTTCGTGCTTGACCTTGGAGGTTTCGACGGCAGACGCGTTTCGCGAGAGCTTGGAGTACTTGCCGACGGCCGAGTCGACGGCGGAGAGGCGCGAGGCCCAGGCTTTGCCCGAGTCTTTGACAACGGCGTCTGCGCGAGCGATGAGGGCGTGCATGGGATCGATAAAGACGTCGACCATCTGCGAGGCAAGGGCCTCACCAAAGGCAGCCAGCTCATTCATGGCGTCGGCAATGTGGAGGACAGCCTCGTTGAAGGAGGCCTCGACGGTGTTGGAGCCGGTGGCGTTGCCTGGCAATGCCTGGAGGACCTCGCCGCCAAAGGCGCGAGCAGCCTCAGCGTACTTGACTGATGCACCATGCATCTTCTCCGCAGCCTTGACCACAGTCGCCACCGAGCCGCGGAGCTTGTCGGTACCCTTGGCCGTCACTCGGACCTTTTCCCGGAACATGGGCGAGTCGCGGTAGACGTCGGCGAGGTCGACGGGCGCAAAGACCCGCTCTGTCGCACCTCCGCTTCCGCTCCCTCCAACACTCTCGCTCCGCACGCTCCGTCCGCGGCCAGAGCTCATAGCACGCTCGCTCCGTGTTGCCATTACCGAGATTAGGTGGTGGTGGTGGCAGTGGTGGTGACAGTGGTGGTGGTGGTGGTGGTGGTGGTGGTGGTGGTGGTGGTGGTGGTGGTGGTGGTGGTGGTGAGGTGAGGTGGCGGTTTGCCTGCAATGGCAAAGGGTTGCTGCCGCTGCTGTCAGGCGGACGGGTGGTGGACGGGCGGGCGGACGGGGGAGGGCATGAACAGGGGGGACAGGGGGGGGGGGGGCGACACAGTGTCACTTTGAGTACTTCTTGATGACGGCGGCAAGATCATCGGCCGAGTTGAAGATCTGGTGCTTGCGCTTGCGGTTGAGGCACTTCTGGTTGCGGTAGAGGACAAAGGCCGGGAGCTTGGTGACGCCGGCGTTCTTGACCATGTCGACGCAGCGCGGCGCGTCGACAAAGACAAAGCGGGCGCGCTTGCGGAGTGAGGCAGAGCGGCGGACGTCGTCGAGGAACTGGGTGTACTTTTCCAGCCTGGCGGCGAGGGCGTCGTTGAAGAGGAAGACGACTAGGTTACTCTCGTTGGAGATGCGGAGGAGCGAGGCCCACGACTCTTCCGGCTGGGCAACGTGGACGCCGACTGGGAGGTGGCGGTTCATATGGTAGAGGACGATGGAGCGGACCGAGGCCAGGAGGGTGTCGACTCGGACCCGGTGCTTGGCGGAGAGATTGAGATGAAGCATGGTGGGAGAGACAGAGTCTGCTACAGCTCCGGTCTCCATCGAGTGGCGGATGCGAGCAGTGGTCTTGCCGGCATGGATGATGCCAAAGCCGGAGATACCAACGACTAGCTCTGCGGCGTCGGCTCGGCCCTTGGGGCCGTGCAGGATGATGGGGTAGCGGCCCTCGGGCACAGCCGAGTCCTGCACTGGCTTGGAGAGGATGGCGGTGGCAGGCTTGCCTGCTCGGTCGTGGTCGTTGACGGGCGAGATGCGGACCCGGACGAGCTTGCCGGCGTCGGCTTTGGTCAGGTGATAGACGTGGGTGTTCGAGTCGGAGATGCGGGTCCACTTTTCACCGTCCTTCGATCGTGACCAGGCAAAGATGCAGCTCTTGCGCTCGCAGTTGACGTACACAGCCGAGACAACCAGATACCCACCGCGCGAGACTGGGAGGCCGACCAGCGCCACCGACCGGACCCGCGGCTCGCGGCTCTTGGAGCCCTTGAATTGACCCTCGGCGGCCTTGACCTTCTTCTTGGTCACCGCTCCGCCCTCGACAAGCACGTCGGCGCCGCGGGCGGTCCGGACGGCGTTGGGGCCCGGCGCGCCTTCTGCAGTCTCGGCAAAGCCGCGCGAGTGGATAGCGCCGAGCCCAAGCGAGTTGGTTGGCAACATCCGCAGGTACATGGCGGAGGCCTCGGACGGCAGAGATGGCGTCGAGTTGTCAAACGAGTCCGAGACCAGGCCCTTGCCAGTCGCTGCTTCGCGGACAAGGTCGACCAGCGGACGGTGCTTGATAGTAGCGCTTGCATCGGCGGTTTTGGACGAGCTCGACCCCGAGCTCGAGCTTGAGCTCGTTGACGAGCCCAGCGGTAATGAGCTGGAGATGGTGGACATACTTGACGAGAGTGACGTTGGTGAAGAGGAGTACGACAATGACGAAGATGAAGAAGATGAAGACGAAGAGGAGGACGACGATGAGGACGATGAGGTCGCAACTGTCGAGATGGAGGAAGTGGACGAGACCGGCTTGGACTTGCCCTTGGACTTGCCCTTGGACTTGCCCTTGGACTTGCCCTTGGACTTTCGTTGGTCAGGAGTCTCCGCAGTTCGAGCAGGGGCGGATGAGGGGGCGGGTGCCGATGCCGATACTGGCGCCGGTGCCGAGGTGAGCGCAGGTGAAGCGTTGTCGACGGTGTTGTTGGCCTTGGCCTTCGACTTGGCCTTGGCCTTCGACTTGGTCTTTGACTTTGTCCTTGCACGGGCGCGAGCGTGGGCAGGCGACGGGCTTTGTGACGACGACGATGACGACGACGACGCAGTGGTGTCAGACGACAACGAGGTTGACGAGGTCGAGACCGAGCGCAGGAGCGCCGAGCGGTGGAACATGCCATATGGGGCAGCTGCATGCGGGCTTGGGTCCGAGTTGGATGAGTCGTACGAGAACGACCGGATTTCCGGTTGCCAAGCAAACGAGCCGTACGAGCCGCTGGCGCCCAGTGCGTCAAACGAGGCCGAGCGTCGGAGCTGCAGTCCGCCAAAAGCGGTGTTGGCAGAGGTTGAGCCACCGGTAGCAAAGCCGCCACCATAAGAGTGCGCCCCGTACTGGATAGGCGGCGGCGGCGGCGGGACAGAGCCAAGGTGGGAGACGTTGCGACTCTGCACAAAGTCAAAGAACGAGAAGATCCCGCGGGTCGAGCCACGCGGCGGAATGACAATGACCGAATTGTACTCTTCGCCCGATGACGACGATGAGCCGAGGATCTGACCAAGGAACTCGATAGTGGAGAGCTGTCGTTGTGAGCCGCGCCGTGAGCCTGCCCGAGGATTGGCGTAGTACATGGCCGACGCATCGACTGGGCTCCACGACGGCAGCGAGTACGAGTAGAGCGTCGAGTACGACGATGACGAGTACGAGTACGAGGAGGACGAGGAGGAGGAGGAGGAAGAAGAGGATGACTTCTTCTTGTGCTTCCTCTGCTTGCCCTTCTTCTTGAACTTGCCTTGGCCCTTGCCCTTGCCTCTGCCCTTGCTCTTGCCCGTGCTTACCGCCACCGATTCGCGAGGCGCGGCCGCAGCTGCAGGCGATAGTCTGCCAACCTTTCCTGCAGACCGATCCGAGCCCTTGACATGACCCGCAACAGCAAGACGGCCATTGGCAGCACGGGTGCCACCAGGCGCACCCGCTGCGACAGGCTGCTGCGCTCGAGCTGTGCTTCGAGCAGCGGCCGACTTGTTGCGGCTCTTGTCCTTGGACTTTGCCTTGGACTTTGCCTTGACCTTGGCGACAGTGGGAGCTGCGGCAGTCACAGTCGCAGCCTTGCCTTTGCCCTTGCCCGAGGCCTTTGCCTTGTGACTCGACTTTGTCCTTGCCGCTGCGCTGGCAGAACCAGTGGCGGCATGCTGACCCAGGCGCGAGCCATCCTTGCCACTGGCCACAGCCGGGGTCACCGAGGGCCGACCACGACCATTCTTGCCCTCCACAACAGCCTTCCTGGAAGCACTGCGTTTCTTCTTGTCCATCTCAGTGGCTCCTTCTTCAACTCCACCTTACCTCGACAAGACGTGTCTTACTGACTTTGTCTCTCTCCCACCCCGCTTCTCCCAGCTCCCTCTCCCTCATCGCGTCGCTGTCTCCACCACCGAACCCTGCTGACAGCACAACCGGGAGTGCACCACTCAAACGGACACGGTGGGCAGGCAGTCATTGAGGTGACAAAAAAATTTAGTGGCCTCCAAGTCCACCCCCCACCCCCCACCCCCTAACCTCCTGCCTCCAGTAGAGTGCTGGAGCTCAGACACCCCCCTTGTACGGCCAACACTTAACACGCCGTCGTCCTCTACCAACCTCTCCCACATACGCAGTGGCTCGACATGGAGGCGTCGACGAGGAGCGAGGCGTCGGACATGTTTGTGTGCATCGGCGATGAGCTGGTGCTCAGATTCGAGGAGACGACACGCAGTGGGGAGAGGATACGGCGAGGCTTTGCCTACGGACTGCACGTCTCGGACGCATCGGTGCATGTCTCGGACAAGCCGTACTCACACGCTACCTTTTCGCCAAAGGCTCTGTTCAAAGTCTCGGTCATGCAGCAGTACTCAGGTGGAAGTACATCGCCGGCAGCCGGAGCAGAGCTGCAGACGCAGCGATCGGGCTCGAGGGTGACCTACGGTCAGACCATCCAGCTTCAGCACGTGGTCTCGCATCGCATGCTCACCGTGTGCGAGTCGGAGGCCGGCGTTCTCGAGCCGGACTGCCTCTCAGTCGCGCTCGACCCTGGATCGGACGGCGCGTGGTGGACGCTCGTACCTCGATACAAGCTCCGCCAGAATGGCGGGCCTGTGCGATATGGCGAGGCCTTTGCGCTTGTCTCGACCAAGTGGAATGTCTCGCTTCACGTATCTCGCGCCCCGTTTGCGGATAACTCGTTCGAGGTCACCGCTGGCTCCCAGGCCTCGCTCTGGCGGCCGCATCTGTACTCGTCGTACGCAGCGCGTGAGGCGGCGGCGGCGGCCGGTGACTCGCCGCCGCTGCAGGGTGGAGCCATGGTCCGTCTCTTTGCCATCGAGGACGACGGCTACCTTGCATACGAGTGGACACGAACCGACGAAGACGGGGCGGATGTCGAGGCTGTTGTCCTCCACATTCACTCGCGCGACCGCGAGGAAGAGTCCAAGCACACGCTCGCGTCGGCCAACTCGGTCTTTCTCGTCGAGCACGCCGACCGGACGTGCGGTGGGCCAGTCGTCACCTTTGTCGGCGACGCCACTCCCGATCTGCTCTGCTCGCCCCGCGCTACAGGCTCCGCCACGTCCGCACCCTCGCCTACCTCACGGTGACTGGCAGTGGCGAGTTGGCCCTGGCGCCGCCGGGCACCGGCCTCACGTCGCAGGACACGCTATTTATTCTCGACGTGGTCGACGCGGATCGTACCACAGCTTTTTCGTCTGACGATACCATCACCACCACTGTCCTCCTCTCGCATCACGTTCGGCTCATTCACGCTGCCACTCGCCGGCTCGTTCTTGTGACCGACGACGACGCCTCGCACTCACTCCCCCACACTCTGCATGCTGCCATTGAGGCACATCATGATCTGCCCCGCAAGACCCGGTTGGTCATGGGCACACGCGCGCTCGACTCAGTTACGGATCGAGTCGACAACGCTTTCTCGCTCTCACGGCCGACCCATGCTGCTGAGCATCTGCTTCACTACCTTGCCGGCGCCAGCGCCACGCTTCGCGCCTACCTGGAGCTCTGGTCCCTCCCGCTGCCACCATCGCTCGCACAGCTAGGTCCTGTCCTGGCTGTTATGCGCAAGCTCACCTCGATGGCTGCGCTCGCCACCCATCCGCACCCAGCGCGTGCATTTCACGGCGAGCGCGTCCAGCGCTTTCTCCGCGAGTTTGGCATCCTCGACCTCGTGGTTGCCACCCTCGTCACTCCCTTTGACATGACAACGTCGGCGACAGCGCAAAATGCTGCACGCAAGTTTCTCAAGCGGATCAACAAGCGCCTCGCTGCTGTGGCACAGATAAGCGAGTCGCTACGGACGCTATCACCGCTGTCGTCGACGCCGCACCTTTGGCACCCGCTATCGCGCCCAGCCCCGGAGACCACTTTGGACTGGAGTGAGGGGAGCGTGTCGTCGGTGACGACCACAGACTCGGCGTATGTCACGGGATCTGACGACGACAACTCGCCGCCTCCCGCGCCGCTTGCAACCCCACCAGCCATAGACCCTCCGGCTCCATGGCATCTAAGCGACGTGGTCGAAGCCGCCAGCTCTCGTCCGCGCGGCCCGTGTCGGTTTGTACCTAGCGATCTGGCACACCCACGACTTGCCCACCTTGGCGAGGCACTTGCGACCGGATACGCGCTCCTGGCCACCGCCGTCCGGCTCAACCCGTTTGCGTCGCTCCGGCTCGCAGCACACACCCAGTTCTTTGTCACCCACATTGGGCACGGCTTTGGCGCCGCCGGCCTCCTCATCGCTATGTACAAGGACAACAGACTGCTGCTGAAGCGCGTCGAGCCGCGGTTTGTCGAGTCTGTGGTTGCTTCACTTTCTGCTTCGCCGCACCTTCCGCTCCTCCGGCTCCTTGCCGTCCTCTGCACGCTCGACGGCAAGCCGCTTCCGCGCAACCAGTCGCTCATTGCGACTGCTCTTCTTGACGCGGCGCCGCACCTGCTACCAGCCATCCGTCTCGACTCTGCCACAGCGCCGTTTGTGCTGGTAGCCTCAGTCCATGAGGGCGACACAGGTCGACAGGAGCCGGCATCGTACTCGATGGCTATTGCCGAGCCAGAGACTGAGCCGATTCCGGGCACCGCGCTCTTTGCACAGGCCTATACCCGCGAGGCGCTATTACTACTCGCAAGCATGGCGTCCGGTCGCAACGACGCCATTGCGGATGCCACGGCAGCGGCGCTTCGCATCCAGCCGCAGACAATGGTCGAAATGCTTCAGGCACCCGGAACCCAGCCGTCGATCCGCGGCGCGCTCTTTGCGCTCGCTACCTCGCTCTGGATCGAGCGTGAGAGCTGCCCGCTGACGATCCGGCACCTGCAGCGTGTTCGCATCTGGCCGCTGTTCTGTGAGCCGGAGCTGCATGCGGCGCTGTCGCCAGTCCCGCCGCGCGAGGCGGCCATTGAAGCCAACCCGCATCTTGAGCGGCTGGCAAGGCTTGTCGACAGCGAGCTGCAGCGACTGGCGGAAGTCGAGCTCGCCCACTTTCCACTCTCACTGTTGCAACCTGTCCTTCGGGCGGTGACGCGGCTCATTGAGCTCGGCATGTACACGCCGTTCTCGCCCGCTTCGATCGACGCGCTGCACCCATTCCTCGGGCTCATGCACCAGCTCTCACTCCGTGTTTCGCTCTTTGCCGACCGCCCATCGAGCGCTGTCCTGCCCAGCATTCTTGGCCACGCGCTCCGGCGGCAGCTCGAGGCCTGCAAGCTCATGGTAGTGCAGGCCATCGAGCAGCTGGAGGCGATCCAGCTCAACGACTTGGCCACGTCGCTGCTGGAGCTATTCTACACTCGCATGCAGACTGTGCTCGACAATGACGCTGCATGCGCGGCTGTGGCGAGCAACGCAGGCGCTAGTCGGGATCTGTCGCCAGCGCCGTCGCCATTGCCCACGCTCCTCTCGCGTCAAAGCGTGAGCGACTTGCTGGCTACGTCGGCAACATCGCTGAGCCATGGACTTGCGGTTGCGCACCAGACGTCGCCGATGACCACCGCACAGGTCCGGGCTGCCATGCATCTCATTCGGGAGCAGTCGCTGAAAGCCACAGCGGTCCACGAGCTAGTGGAGGAGCTGCTGCCGCAAAAGTTGCGGCCACCGGGATGGAAGCCGCACCTGCGGGCTTCGGCTGCGGTGGCGCCATCATCACTTGCGGCTGTCCTCATTGACGACGATCTTGCCGGCGGCCTGCTCCAGCTTGCGGCGCGGGCGTCAGGAGAGCCGCTGGTTGCCACCTTTGGCCTCATATGTGCCCATTTTACCAAGGCCGAACAGCTGTTGGAGCTCCTTGCGTCGGTCAAGGTCCTTGTCAACCCACTGGCCATTGCGCAGTATCAGCGGCTCGCGGTAGGACTGGCAGCATTGGAGACGGTCCCAGTCGTACTCCCTGAGGCGGTGGATCGACTCGAAACCGAAGTCATTCCCATGCTCCGCGACGCACTCGCGTTCTGCGAGACTGGCCACCGCGACATCCTGCTTGACCTCGGCTGCCACACTGCGCTGATCACGTTTACACAGCGGGTGGGAGAGGCGTGGATGGCGACAGCGAGCAGGAAGAGTGAGCACAACGGGGCGGTTCGCCATGTGCTCCGGCTCATCTTTCGGTTCCTCGAGGCGTTTGTGCGCCGGTCGCCGGACCACCAAGCTGCGGTGGTACCGTACGTGGACGCGCTTGTCACGGCTTCGCGATGGGAGGTGGGTGCGACTCTCACGCTCGCGGCGCTGTATTCGGGCAACTATGGACTATGTGCCCGCATTCCCACACGGGTCCTCCAGCACGCGCTGGACCAAATCAAAACCACCGGTCTGCACAGGCACTACCTGCGGTTCCTGGCGTGTGTGCTCTGCGCGATGAACCACACCATTACGCGGACGCAGAATCGAGTTCTCGCGCTCCTGCAGCACCCGTCGAACGCCACCGTTCTTGTCCTCTTGCTTGATGACAATGCCTGGCCTGCCGCTCTTGAGGAACACGCTTCTCGGACAAGCCGCAAGTCAGGCGACAGACTGCTGTACCACCTCGAGCTGATGCGACTCCTCGGCTCGTGCGCCAACACCAACCGGCTGGCCGAGGTCAAATGCCAGATGATGATCCCACTCGAGACTGTGGTCTCGCGGGTGCTGGCCGCGTATGGATCACTAGAGTTGCAAGCCCGCGTCCGCGGCGCCTACCTCCACTTTCTCCGTGAGGTTTACGTCGACAACGACATGAGCCACGTGGCTCTGCGCTTTCCAAGCGAACTGACACGGGTGGTGGGCGAGGCTATCGGGATGCTGGACGCGCACGGGACCGCGTCGAGTTTGCTGACGCGGTTTTTTGAGGCCGACGGGGCACGGGCGCGCGACGTAGGCTCTGTCTCGTCGCATGTCCACGTTCACACTCACGGACCGCACGCGCCATCGGTGGTGGAAGACGTTGTCTCCCAGTTAGTGTTCCAGGACGTGCTCGCCTTTCTGCGCGTCGTCTTTCACGACTCGGATCAGGCCCCGGTGCTGGTCTCGCACGCCGAGAGCGCACGATTGGGCAACAGCGCAGCACTCGCGCTTGTCAAATTGTTTATCTTCTGGTTGGAAAAGGCTAAGGCATTTTATCCGGCGCTCCGGAGCGGCGAGCTGCCTGCGGGTATGATCCGCTCAGCCGTGACGGCGTCGCGGCCGCATCTGACGCTGCTGGGGCGTGTGCACGCGGTGGCGTCGACACTCTTTGCCATGCGGCAGCACTACGCGCAGGTCATGCCACGGGGAGTGGCTGCGCAGGTTCTGGCGTGGACGGCGGCCGGGTCGACGCCATCGCATCACGGCGGCCCAAAGCCGATGCGAGTGGCGGCTGACGTGAAGATGATGGGCATGGTGAGCCCTCAGTCCGCGCGGGTACGCGGGCGCGACGGCGACTTTGAGGGTCTGCTCTCGTCGTCGTCAGCGGTCTCGTCGTCATCATCGTCGTCGTCGGCCTCATCATTTGACGCGCACTCGATCCTCACCTTTTCGACCGACTCGGAGTCGATCGAGCACTCGGAGGCGTCGCAGGGAATGGAGCTTGAGGCGCTGATGGGCGATCTGGGCGGAGGCGGCGATGCGCTCGCGCCGTGGAAGGCGATCACCAAGATGGTGGCACATGGGTTGCGGCGGTTTGTGCGGAGCTACAAAGACGAGTACACTGGGTCGAGTCAAGGGTGGACCAAGCTGGTGTTTGAGATGCGAGCGCGTGAGCGCGACGGAGCGCTGTCGAACCTCATTTCGCACACGGAGCTGTTTGCGGAGGCCGGGAACAGTGTGCACGGGGTCCACTTTGCGCAGCTCTGTCTCGATATCCTCACATGGGCTGCGCGCGAGGATCGCGGGTCCGCCTCGACCAAAGTGGCAGACTCGCTGGTTGCCGGACTTGCACCGACGCTGGCGCTGACGATGACAGTTGCGTCGGGCGGCGACGACCCTGCGCTGCGATCGCCAACTGAGAGTCATTTGCTGTCGCGAGAGCGGCTGCGAGCCGAGCAGGCGCGACTCGACTCGCTGGGGCTGACAAGCAAGGTGGTGCAGTTTGTGGTCTCGAGCCAAGGCTCGCTGGTCCTCCCCGGCCTCGCGGTACTTCACGCGCTGCTCGCCGGTGGAAACATGGACGTGCAAGCGACGTTGTACGCGGCGGTGACTCGGCCGGCCAATCTTCTCGGCCATCTGGGGGCTACGTCGGTGCTCGATCTTGAGGCTGAAGTTAAGTTCCAGCGCGGCCGTCGCGGGTCGTGCGAGTCGGACGGGCTCTCGGCGGCTTCGATTGATTTGCTCGACACCGGCGCTGACCTCGCCAACGAGCTGTACGCCGGGAGCGAGGCGAGGAGCGACGGAAGCGACGGTTGGAACGAGAGCGAGTCGGATACGATGAGCGTTGAATCTGGGCTGGCGTCGGAGCAGGCGTTTCTCAAGCAGCGCAACGAGATGCTCCATGACAAGCAGTTGATGTTTGAGCGGCTTGTGCGGCGCGGGAACACCCGCGCGCGCGAGGTGCACCCCCTCAATGCGGTGTACCGGTTCCAAGTGCCACTGCTCCGGCGGCTAGAGCAGCTTCTGGTCAAGGCCGGGTTCGAGATCGAGGACAAGGCTGCGCTTCTTGTGCAGAACCCGCGGCTGTTGCAGGCCGAGGTGCTGCAGCGGTTCAACTTTCGGCGTGGGCTGTCCTTGTTGGAGGAGCAACCGGGGCAAGGTGGGCGAGTCATCATGTCGCGCGACAAGCGGCAGGACGTGCATGGCGAGGAGGGCCATGTCTTTACGGTCCTGCTCCTTCTCCAGGCACTGTGTGAAAACCATCACCACGAGTTCCAAGAGTACTTGCGAGAGCAGGTCGACGTGGTGCGGTCGTTCAACGTTGTTGCGGCACTCGCGCGGTATGTCTCGCTGCTGGCTTCATCAGTGAGCGCGGCGACAATCCACGTGGCAACCCAAGCGTTTGCCACCCTTGCCGAGCTCTGCCAGGGGCCGAACCCAGCGAACCAGCGAGTGCTTGCCGACTCGTCGGTGATCGAGGTAGTCAACTCGCTGCTGAGCTCCAAGCTGGACGGCTGCGCCAAGGCCGATGTGTATCGGTTGCGCAAGACAGCGCTGACGGCTGTGGCAGCGATTGTGGAGGGATCATCGACAAGCCGGGCCAGGCGGTTTGAGCCTGGTTGCGACGAGCCTCCAGTTCACGGCGTCGTGCTCTCCAAGCTCAACGTCAATGTACTGCAGCAGATTCTGGAGGCAGCCGCCGGTGAGCAGGGAAAGCGCGACGGCGTGCGCGAGCGAGGTCGAACGGAGCGCGACGTGACGGGCGAGGCGGTGCCATGGGAGGCGCGGCAGCAGGAGGCGCGCGCGGCATTCCGCCGGGGCGGGATTGGAGGTGGCGGGCGGTGCGAGGCGGAGAGCGATACCTCGCAGAGTGTGACCAGCAGCGCAGCCGCAGCAGCGGCGGCGGCGGCGGCGGCGACGGCGGACGCGCAGTTTGAAGAGGCAGTAGCATGCTACATCCTCCTCCGCAGCCTCCACGACAAGGCACCTGACGCGCCAGAGCTACAGGCGCTGTTTGCGGAGCTTGATGACGGCGTGGGAGCGTTCTTTGAGCGGCAGGTGTCATCTGTGGAGATCGCCCATGGGGATGCGGGCGTGGAGCGGATGTACTTCAAGGTTCCTTCGGCGGCGCGGTTGCTGAACAAGCGGTCGCGGCGGCGGCTTGTGTGGGACGTGGCGCGCGACGACACGCGGCTGCGCGACTTTCTAGACCGCGCCGAGGACTTGCTCGACGAGATGCACCATCGGTCGCGGCTGGAGCCGTTTGTGTTCTGGCGGTATGTGGGGCGGCACGAGCAGGCGCTGCGGAACACGTCGCTCCTCCTTGCCGTGGTGATCAACGCGCTGCTGCTTGTTGGGCTCCAGTCGAGATCGCGCGACAATACGTGGCGAAGCGAGTCTATCCGAATCTGCGTCACGATGTTTGGCGGGGTGCAGACGGCTACGTCTGGGCTCGTGGTTCTCATCTATCTTGTCTCCCAAGCGCCGCTTGTGCTGCGACGATATTGGCGGTCGCGGGCGATGCCTGCGTCTGCGGCGGTGAAGGGTGTGCGTTCTGCGGTGTATCTGTGTCGGCAGCCGTTCTTTTGCTTCCACTTGCTGTATGTGGCGTTTGCGGTGTTTGGCAACGTGATCCATCCTGCGTTCTTCTCGTACCACTTGTTGGACATTGTGACGCGGAGCGAGACGCTGCGGTCTGTGACGCTGGCAATCATGGTGAACGCCAAAGCGATCGGACTGACTGTGGTGCTCGGCCTTGTGTGGATGTACATGTACGCGCTTGCCGGCTTTGTGCTCTTCCGTAGCGACTTTGACATTGCCGGGAGCTCGTACTGCACCTCGCTGCTTGAGTGCATTGTGACGGTGACGAATCTCGGGCTTCGTTCGTCGGGAGGCATCGGCGACCAGATGGTGCTGCATCCGTACACGCCGGACCGCATGCACTCGTATGGGCGAGTGGCGTATGATCTCTCGTACTACTTTGTGTTTGTGGTCCTCTTCCTCAACCTCCTCCTCGCCATCATTGTGGACACGTTTGCAGCGCTGCGGACGCGGAAGCATGCAGTGGAGCACGACATCCAGAACAAGTGCTTTGTGTGCGGACTCTCGCGCGACGACCTGACGCGCGATGGGCCCGGATTTGTGTACCATGTCAAGCGCGAGCACTCGATGTGGGCGTACGTGGCGCTGTTTGAGCACTTGCGCGGCAAGGACTTTCTGGAACTGACCGGACGTGAAGGGTACGTTCTGGCCAAGCTCGAGCGGCGAGACCCTTCGTTCTTTCCTCACACGGCGCTGTCGCTGGAACGGTAAAGCAGGGCGCAGTGGTCAGGACGCAGCCGTGGGGCAGCATGTGGGGCAGGAGCGGGTGGTGGCGAGGACGGCAGCGAGGTCGGCTTCGAGCTTGGACACGCGATCGGCGAGGGCGGCGTGCTGGGCTTGGAGAGCGACGATCTGGGCGTCTGGGGTGTTTGTGGACCAGCCCTTGCCGACAACGCCCTGGGTCATGGTTCCAATGGTGCCCTTGACAAAGGAGGGAAGGATGTCAGCAGCGGCGGCGGCGGCGAGGCCGCCCCATGCAAGGCCGAGGTCGAAGAGGTCCGGACGGGCGTCTGCCAGCTCAAAGATGATGCGGGCGGCGGCAAAGTCGAGATCGGATTCTTGAGTGTAGAGGCCAATGTGGAGGGCGTAGGCCTGCTTGAGGTCTGCAAGCTGGTCGAGCGCCTTGTCGTTGAGCGAGTACGAGGCCAGCTTGGACGAGGAGGAGGATGGGAGGCGCGAGTATTCGATGAGCGAGCCGACGTTGAAGAGGACCGAGGCGGAGCGAGGGAGCGAAGCGGCGGCGGCCTGCAGATCACCGGCAAAGTGGAAAAAGTAGAGCGGCGTGGTCGAGGTGAGGGAAGAGATCTGCGGAGCGCGGAATGAGCCGACGCCGGCAATGTCAATGCCGACGTCGATGCAGGCGTCGACGACCAGCTGGAGGACATCTGGCGGGGCAGTGAAGGACTTGACGTCGAGGACAAGGGCAAGCGGGGCGTCGCCAAGGGCGGCGCGAATGGCAGGGACGACGAGCCGCGGAGGGGTGACTTTGAGAAAAGTGGCGTCGCCAGGGACGCGAGGCTCTGCGGCAACGGTGGCGAGGGCGGCGGCGAGGTCTGCGGCGGCGAGATCGCCCGGGGCGGTGGCAGCAGCAGCAGCGAGCGGAGCGAGGTCAAGGGCGCGGCGCATGAGATCAAGCCAGTCAGCTGCGGCAACGCCTCCGGCGGCGGTCTTGCGTGTGGAGGCGACCGAGGCGTACGAGGTGAAGCCAAAGTGCTCGGCAACAAGGTGTGAGGCGGCGCCGTGGGCGATGACAAGCGAGTGGAGGATGCGTTGCGGCGGGAGCGGCGGCGAGTCGGGCGCAAAGAGGGCCGGGTCGATGAAGACGTCCCACTCAAAGACCGGGGCGACCCACTCTGGGTCGGCGGAAGCGCCAAAGGCGGCGAGGACCGGGTTGTTCTCGAGCATAGCCATAACGACTCCAGAAACAGAGGCAGAGCGAGTGGCGCCGCGGGATGAGACAGCGGCAACGACGTCGGCAAAAACATCGGGCATGAGGGCCTCGAGAACGGCGGCCCAGGGCGGCGAGGCGAGGAGGGCGGGTGCGGCGCCCATGAAGGATCCGTGCGAGTAGAAGCGGTTGGCGAGCGGCGGGAGTGGGGCGAGCGGCGGGACGGTGTGGGCGAGCATGTGCATGGGGTTGATGCGGTAGCCCGAGGCGGCGGCGGGAGCACGGACGAGGGCCGGGAGCCTCGACGGAGCGGCAACAAGCATGTCTGTGAGCGCGGCGAGAGCGGCCGCGCGGAGGGTGCGGAGCTTGACAATGCCGGCGGAAGCCGAGCCGGATCGGAGCATGAGACCGACGGACGAGACAGCGGCGGCGAGCTGGAGAACGGCGTGGGTGGAGAGGGTGAAGAGGTAGCCGACAAACGGGAGGACGAGGAGCGAGGCGGCGAGGGCAGACCAGCCGAGAAGGTACCATGTGGCGAGCGAGTAGAGGAGGTGCCAGAGCGAAAAGACGTGAATGGAGTGGCGGAGGCGAGGTGCGGCGGCGTCGTGCGAGGTGAGGCGAGCGGCGAGCGAGACGGCGGCGGAGACCGGGAGGAGCGAGGCGACGCCGGCGATGGAGAGCGGAGCGAGGACGAGCGAGACGGCCAGGGCCTTGACGAGGCGGACGACAAGAGCCGGGCCGGTGAGCTGGCGCGAGACCTCGGCGTCGCGGACACCCATGCCGTCGAGCTCGGCAAGGTAGGTGAGGGTGGACGACTCAAAGGCAGTGACGTGGGGTGTCGAAGAGCGAGAGACGAGGAGGGCGCCGACCTTGCGAATGATGGCGGCGCGCTGGCCGTGCGTGAAGCGACGGAGGGTGTAGCACCAGGGCGCGGTGCCGCCGGACCCGGCGCCGCGGGCGAGGTCGGGCAAGAGCTTGAGCGTGGCTTGGCAGAGCGAGAGGTGATCGCGGGTGAGGCCGAGGACCGACGAGGAGGCACCGGAAGTGGACGGGATGTACATGGCGCAGAGCGCAGCGGCGAGGTCAGACGCAGCAAGTTCGGGCTCGGGCGCAATGAGCTCGGCAAAGACCAAGAATATGCGGCGGCGAGTGGCCGAGGTGCGGACATGGAGGCAGGTGACCGGGACGATGGCAGGCGTGAGGGACTCGTTGGCAGTGAGGGTTAGGACGTGGGTGAGAAGCTCGCGGTGTGTGGCTTGCTCGAGGCCGAGCGAGCCGAGGACGACGTCGTCGCCGGCGGCGAGGCGGGCGACAATGGCCGAGGCGATGTGGCGAAGCGGCGATGTCGTCGGATCGGCTGTGACGACCGATGCGCCGGCGAGGACCCAGCGGATGAACGGGGTGGCGGTGGCGGCAAAAGTTGGGGCAAGGAAGACCGAGGTGTGGACAACACGCGGGAGGTGGGTGAGGACAACGAGCGGATCGACAGCATGCAGCTCGTCCGGCTCGTTGGCCTCGTCAGCCTCGGGTGAGGCGGACCAAACGAGATAGAGGCAGCCCGAACTTGTCGGGGTGACGACGGGCGCGGCGAGCGGGGCGGCCGGAAGTCTGCGGACGATGGACGGCGTCCGGGTTGGAGTCCGATTCGGGGTGTGTATGGAGGCCGGCAGTGCGTTGAGCAAGTATCCTGAGAGCGATGACGGCGTGAGCCGGGAGGCTGAAGGGTGGATGATGGCGTCGTCGTCGTCGGCGGCATGGTCGTCGGGTGAGACGGACGATGGCCAAGTCGGGAGGGAGAGGCGGGTGGAGGGTTGCGGCGCTGTTGATGGCGGTGACAGCAGAGTATCTGCATCTTGATCCTTGTATGGTTCTGTTGTGTCTGGCTCTGTGTCTGTGTCCGGCTGAGGGCCATCGGGTGGAGGGGATGATCCAGGCGGTGCCTGCCATCGTCGTGCGTCGGTCAGCTCCACCGTCTCCTCCACGTAGGTGGTGAGGAAGAGTCGGATGTAGAGGAAGCACAGGTAGCGCAGTATGCTCCGTAGTGGTGCGAGCATATCTGCCTACACACACGGGCAACACACACACACACACACACACGCGCGCGCGCGCGTTGGGTGAGGGAGAGGGAGAGTGGGGGGGAGGGGGGGGTGGGGGGTGGGGGGGGGGGAGTCTGGTCGAGTGGGGGGTTTGGAGCTGTTCAACTCGACTGGTCGCAGGTGCGGTGGTTGAGGGAGGGAAGGATGCCGATGCCGCATGTGTGGGCAATGGATCTCGGTCGCGTGGGCAAACGGTGGCCACAAAAGCCGGCCCACCACGCCAGCCGTGGGAAGCTGTAAGGTCTTGTTTGATGCGGGACCGTGCGAGGCGCCGCTGGCATAGTCCGCTCTGTGTGGAAGAGTGCATCGATGTGGCGCTCGTTGCGATGCCCGAAGGAGAGGTGACCAACGTGTGGCTGGCTTTGCCAGCCACCGCCCATCGCCGCGCCAGGCCCGAGCATCGACCCGTACTCTCCTGCCAAGGTGTCGTCGTCGTCACCGTCAGCGAGGCTTCGCGCTGACTCACACGCCCATGATGGCGCACCACTCGGCAGAGACATTGGCCTTGGCGCCTGCCGGCGCCGACGTGTTGTAGCGATACTCAAACGGGAGCTCGCCAGCAAGGAGAGCGGCATCACGGGACCAGTGCATGAGGGCAGGGTCGGTTGTCTCGAGAAACGGGTTGATCTCGATGATCCACACGTCGTAGCCATCGTCCCGGGCCGGGTTGGCGACGAGGCCAAAGTCGATGACGTAGTCGTCAAAGCCGGCAGCCGAGAGCGCACCGGCCATGGCGGGACTGTCAAATGCCGTGCGGATGACATCGGCTATGTCCGGCCCGGCGGCAGCGAGCTCGGCAAAGTACGAGAGGTGGTTGTACTGCGAGAGCGCGGTGAGCACGCCGCGAGCAACAAAGCCACGAAACTCAAAGCCGACGTCGAGATCGACCCACTGGCGGACGACAACGTTCTCGTGGAAGCGATCCGGGTACTTGAGCGCCATGAGCATGTCCTGGTAAATACGTTCCGAGGTGAGCAGCAGCGTCGCGCCCTGGGGCGGCGAGTCGACGCGGAGAACGGCAAGGCCGGCACGGAGCAAGGCGTTGAGCTTTCCGTTGAAAGTCTCGGCGTCCGGCTCGGCTTGCAACGCCTCGGTGTACGCTGCTGCCATGGCCCCGTCAGCCGCCGCGGCGTCCTTGGGCGAGCGCGATGAGGTCTTGACAAAGACAAACGATGCGCCCAGGGCAGCCATACCCTCGGCGATGGCGGCCTCGAGGCGAGCCCGCAGCGCCTCCTGCCAGTCGCCATCGCCGACACGCGCCACTGCCGCCACCGCCGCCGCAGCATCGTCTGGCAGAGAGCCCGATCCGGCGGCAGCCTCTTCCGGATGATCGGCCTCGTAGTTGGCCACAAGGGCGGCGGCGTCGTCAAGGGTGAGCGGGGCGAGCCAGGTGGCAAAGGTCGAGTCGACCACGGCCGGGAGCCAGGCCTCCAGGTTGACATCGAGTACGGCATGCTGGTACGAGCGGAGGTACTCGGGCGTCCATGTCTCAGTCAGTACCGGCTTGGACTTGTCCACCGTCGTCGTCTCGCTCAGCTGCGCCTTGGCCGCGCTCAGTCCTGACAGGTCCATTTCCGCACTCGAGTCAGCTGTACGTAGATCACCGACAATTCGCATCCGATGCATGCAAGAGCCTGTCTACGGCACGATGCCTAAAGCGCATACATGCACATACATGCACATGTACGCAATCTCTCTTTCTCTCTTTCTTTCTCTGCAGATATCGCCAGAGAAAGAGAGTCGTGATGGGTGCATGGGGTGAAGCCAGCCATCGAACAGTTGGTGATCACACATTTTGCCTTCTTTTTTAAACACACCTGCTCATGCTTCGCCTATCACCACATACCTCACACACACACACACACTCAACAAGGGACCTATCCCTTCCCTCGCCTGTCCCCGTCTACCTCACCCAGTCAGGCGTAGTCGCTGCCCCCCCCCCCCCCCCCCACGTATCGGTGGGTATGAAGCGATGATCATGATGGTGGTGTCGATCATTGTCTGGGTTTGTTTGGTCGTCTGTTCGTTGATGTCTGTTTATGCACTGTTCCTCAAGACCCAACTCGACCAATTACACGGCATGGCTGGGCGATCGAAGCACGGATGCGCCACGTTCTTGATGGGCCTGAGCCTCCTCTGCGGCCTCATTGCGCTCCTTACCACCTACTGGGTCACCGTTGACTTTTCTTCGGGCTCGAACAAGTTTTACGGCCGCGCAGGCCTTGCCTACAAGTGCTTCCGCCAGGAGGACGATGCGGGCGTCTCGGCTCGCCAGTGGTACGAGCACAGACGGGCGCGAGCGAGAGCAGGTGGGGGAGGGTTCAGGGGGGGGGAGGGGGGAGGGGGATAGTCGGTGTTGAGAAACATCCGCGTAGTCGGGCGCTCGTGAGCATGTGCATGCGGATGGTGTGGGTGATGATGGCCTCGGTCGCGGCGGGGAGGGCGGCCAACGGCTGTTTTGAGGAGGCCGTGTGCTGGCATGGCGGGTGTAGGGGACGGCGCAAAATTTTGCCGGGCAAGTTGAGAGAAACGCCGTGACACTCACACTCGCCCACGCAAACAAACTTGCTTAGCAACGCGCTGCTGAAGAACTCGCAGACCGACAAGCGCAAGTTCCGCGCAGGCGAGGTGACATACTACACGCTGGTGGCATCGCTCGGTGTGGGCGTGCTTGCGCTGGCGCATCTGGCGTTTGTGGAAGCCGGCCCGCTGCCGCCCAAGTCGATGGCTGGCGCCGGATTCTCGCTGGTTCTCCTCCACGCCATTGGCATGCTCCTGGGCTGGATTCTCTACGCCGCGCTCCTCTTTGATACGGCCGAGTACGAGAAGTCGCCATCGCCGTACAGCGGTGGCAACACCAAGAAGATGGCGCCGTCGTGGTCGTTCTACCTCTGCGTGGCGAGTTCGTTCCTTGCCCTTCTCGCCACAGTCCTCGTCTTCCTCTTCATCGGCTCGTTTGGCGCCGGCGAGACCATCGCCCCGTCGCCCAAGTCGGATGCCGAAGCCGGCTCGTCCAACGATGATGACTCGGAGCCCGGCGAGGAGTCGTCGGATCTCGAGTAAGCACCAAACGAGGACCAATGCTGATTGAGCCTAACATAACAGTCGCGCCCCGGTTGCGCCACTACCTCTGCCTCAGTCACTGTCACTGTCTCCGCCACCTCTTGACTCTGCCTTGTCCGGACCCCCCTCCCCTCCCCCCCCCCTA